TTTTTTCTTTGCTTTTTTTTTCATTGTACCGGCGAGGGTTGAGCGATCCAGCGACGGCATTTGAGCCCTCGCCCACGGCCGGTAGGGCCTTGATGGCCCTAGGCAAGGCCATCGCGGCCTCACAGGCCGCAGGCAAGGGCCTTTGTGGCCTCGCCCAGGGCCATCGCAACCTCGCTAGCCACGGGCGAGGCCTTCGCAGCAACCCTTGCCAGCACAACGAAGACAAAAGGAAAAATATAAAAAAAAAATTCAAACTTTTTTAACTCTTCTTCAACTCAAAATGGCTTAGCTATCCGATATTCTCGTCATCAGTGTGAGTTTCTAAGAATAATTGGAACAAGGCCCACAGTACAATTATAGAGATCTATCATATTCGCGATGGTTGAAAATAGATGTTCAGCCAATATGAACAAGAAGAACTCGACATCCTTGACGTCGTCGTCGCCCACAAGATAAGACCTTAACTTTACTAAACAAGCGAGATAAGCTTTTTCTATTCAGTCAAGACCCGCAATGCAATTATAGAGCACGATTGGAACGGGAGACTCGAAAGACCATACTTTTGCGCGTCTTGACTGCAAATTCATTTTAGTTGTCACTAATGGCGTCGCTAGAAGACCGCCATTGACGAATCCAAGGAAAGACTTCTTTTTCTTCCAACTGGGGAAGCATCATCACGTAGTGTTAAAGTTTTCTACATTTCTTTGTTACGATTATGTCAAGACCTCATGTCTATGTGTCCGTCTTCAACCTAACAACTTATATTTTCTGGTGAATACCTATCTTAATCAGAGCAAGTTCGTCAATTTCTTCACGTCGCTCTTTAAATTTAACATTAATTTAATTATGGGCTCTTGCTAATTATATTCCTTAATCTTCAAGTTTTCGAGTGACGTTTTCCCAATCAGATTTGCTCATAGTCTAATGCTATCCTACATTGCCGGATGGTGGGATGTCATCATAACCTCTCCCGAGATGGAAAATACCCACCATCAACACGGGCTAGCTACACAATCACTCAACGCAGTGTTTAACTCGCAGGAGATGAAAATACCTCTTCCGAGAGCATTGCGTTCAAGCTGAGCTCATTTTTCCTGCCGATGCCACACCGCCCGGGGGAAAATGGACGTCCACGGCGGCGGCGGCGCTACAACCAAAAATTGCCAACGAAAGAAAGCAATCAATCGAAACATTTTCAGGCATGAAAGCACACGACAAGCACACACGCAAAAGATAATGTACACGACAAGCACACACGCAAAAGATAATGTACATCGTCTTGTATTATGCGCTTTGATTGTAGTATAAAAAGCATTGTCGATTCTTTGCCCTAAATTTGTTTTCAAGCCTATATGTAGATTTGGAAATATTAAAGTGAATTACCTATAGTTGGATTTGATTTCAATTTTTTTAGAAGAACTTTAATAATGTAAACTCAAAGTGAAAAGAAAAATTAGACTCAGCTACATGAATAGAGATTGATTGCAAAATACAAAAAGAAAAGGTATTATTACATGAAAAAAGCAAGAATATCTTCGATTAGATTTAAAGAAAAAGAAAAGGGGGAGGAGAAAAAAGAAAAAAAAAGATAGAAATTTTAGAAAAGTATACGCTTTATATTTATTTATGAGCAACTTAAACACAAAAGAAAGAAAAGAAAATCTCAGATGAAATGGAAAAATTTGAAAAAAGAAAATCAAAGAAAAAAGCTTGGAGGCGCCACAGCACCAGCATTCCAGCCTTTGTCCTAGGCGGCCAAAAAACAAAAACCCTCTGTCCTAGGAGTGGTTAACGGGCCCGTCACCCACCTGGGCCAAACATGGGCCTGGCCCGGTCCCCGGCCCATGCCAAAATCTTTTAGGTTGGGCCACATAGGTCGAAATAATAATTATAAATCTTCTGCATTATATGTTCAGTCTCTAATAAAAAAAAATTAATACCAGTTTCAACAATAATTCCGGCCCAAAACAAGTTCCAAGTAGAAGTAAGCATAGTTCCCGGGTAGAACCTAGAACCGTAGAACTTGTCTAGTTCTAGAGTATATAGGGTAAGTTTTCAGATTCCAAAAATTGGTGAACCTATTTCGATAGGTAAGTTCCAAGTTCTAGATAGGTGGAACCTAGGACAAGTTTTTGTATTTTTCTTGGTATATGTCTTCGCGTGATCCAGCGGTATTCCATGGCATTTAATAATGAGTATATGATCTAGAACCACTAGTCCGAGTTTCCATTCTATGACTAAGACTTTTGTTTTATTAATGTTTCATATTCTTCGTGTGTCTAAATATAAGTTGCGATCAGTGGATTATAGCAGTAAGTGGTAGTTATTAAATGTGATGATTCACTGCAATCGTTCAATTAATTATATAGAAGACTGGGTAGACCCTAAAACCGACTCTAGAACTTATGACAGGGTAAGTTCCAAATTCCAGAGTATGCAGGGTAGGTTACAGGTTCCAAAAAATTATGAACATATTTCAACAGGTAGGTTGCAAGTTTCAGGTGAAACCTGTACGAAATCTAGAACCACTCACCTCTAGTTCCAACAATATCATGGCTGATATCTAAAAGAGCAACCGCATATTTTAAACAACAGACGAATTGATAATTCCAGCGAGCGAACACCCCAGTTATGTGAGAATTAGAAATACAACCAGATAATTTTTTAGAACAAGAACATGTGTCAAAGACATGCCATAACATTAAAAACTCCTACACAAGAAATTTAACAGGAAAAGGTACATAAACAAGGCATCATCACAGTTAATCATTGTTATTAAAAAGCTGTACAGGAAAGATAAGGTATCGAAGCTCAAGCGTACTTCGACTTAGGCGCTGCCAGTTTTAGGCTTCACCTGGCCACTTCTCAAAGGATATCTTTACAAACGCAGCATGACTCAGATTATATTTTACTCCTTCAAAATTTCATTAATTAGGAGCTAATGTTCAGATGAAAATCGAAACTCCTGCACCAAAAAGGAAGAGAAGAAGAGGAAACAAATGGGACAAATGGGGTTGGAGGATGGCTATTTCTAGACACAATGCTGTAGTTTACCGTTGGCACGTTGATATGTTGACGGGCTAGGACTTGAGCTCCCTCTTAGCGATCTCCCCAGGTGAAGGTATCGGGCTTTTGCTGCGCACTCTCAACAGAGAGACCCTTCAAAACTTCAACAACTTCACTCATCTGGGGACGAGCTTTTGGGTCTAAGCTAAGGCAGCGAGCAGCCAACGTGAAAGCAATCTGGACACCTTTTTTTGAGAACTTTTTAAGCCTTGGATCCATCAATGTGTGCAATTTTTTTTTCCTTCCTAGATGTGGCCGAAGATATTCAACAAGGTTAACTTCACGGGGAGGCCGATCTCGGTCTAGGACTGTCCGTCCGGTCAGAATTTCCAAAAGAACCACACCAAAACCATACACATCGCACTTTGCTGTGAGGAGCCCTGCAATAGTATATGTGCACTCACTAAACAGGAGTACATAAAATAAGTACCAAATGGTCCTATTTATATATAAATACAGTCCATGAGGTACCCGCCGAATATCTCGCAAACCTCTTGCAATAAAAAACAGGTACTTGACCTAAAAGGCTGAAACAATAACTTAGTTCCGTCTTCCCATCACTTCTTTTTTTTCTTCTGATTATGCTAGGTAAGCACACCGCATGTTGCGGGGGATAGAAAGCTATCGGTATTAGTCATGGAATTATCAAAGTAATTAGTGCCATACAAAAAGCCCAAATTATGATATTATCGGCAATTCCGAAGTACAATATTGTATCTCTTGTTATCATAATATACTTCATTCAAGGCTTCGGCAAGGCAGTAATTTAAAGCATGATAGACATGGACCTAACTAATTGATCTGTAAATCAGAATAATGCTTGTTCTTAGAAATTGTCAAGTCATGATAATCTCCATTTACGATAAAATAGTGAATGCTTCTTTATGCATTGCCTTCACTGAAATTATAAGGACGTATGTAGATTAAAAACAAAGAGAAGATAAAAGTTTCAACTCTTAATCTATAGATGTATAAGATAAATCAACCGCCTTTCTAATGGTTTCTAAGTTAAATTTTTCTTCTCGTAAATGACAAATAGGATAGTACAATGAGAAAACACATAAATCACGATGTACTACATGTAGACCTGAAGCGCGTAAAACAAAGAAACATATGATACCTAGTTTTGGTCTACGTTTTTGGGTAATCATCTTGTGCATGGAGGATGGACGACTACCACATTTAGTGGAAATTAACTAGCTACTTGGTAAAAACCTAGATCCTACATTCTGAACTGAGAACCCTTTGGACACGTAGCGTTGAAGCACATAAAAACAGAAAAAGAAAGAGCTTTAATTATGAATCGGTGTTTGGGTAATTACTGGTTGTGCATCCTATTAAAAATTACAACTTATGGAGATTGATCGAGTGTCCGAAGGGTGTAGCGGATATTCGGCCGTTAATTGAAAAGAATAATATCAACCAAAGACAAAAAATAATAAACAAAGTAAAACAAAAACAAAAAATTCACTTGCCAGCAATGCGTAATGTCCAGGAAGTTCAAGCAAGATATATGCAAAATATTCCATTCAATGATTGATTATGTGGTGGACTGAAAGATAAGGGAATAACATCATTTGGGAGACTACATGCAGGACTCAAACAGAAAGAATGGGACTTTTAGCATGATGTGCAAGAACTACAACTGATTGTACCATTACTGCAAATTGTGATCATGTATGAGGACAGACCAGATATAGGATGCACATAGTGAAAAGTAGGTACATCAGTGTATAACCATCCCTCTAATTTTCTTGTCTTTGGTTGCGATTGATATCCACCTAATTCAATTCAGTTCCTAATCATAATTGGTGCACTTGTTGTGCATGAGGTGTGTAGATTGGGGCTGTTATTTCTTTTTAATGCGATAGGATTTGACATGTCAAAAACATTGCTCAACCACTTTATGCAGATAACTTGGACATTTCTCATCATCAAATTGCCTGTACTAACATATACATACCAGTCGCTAGGTATTCTGGGGCAGCATAGCCAAGAGTTCCTATGACACGGGTGTAGACATGGTGATCTCCCTTGGGAATAATTTTTTCAAATCCAGAACCAGAAAGCTTGGCGTTGTAGTCTTAAAAAAGACAAGTCATAAGAAAATAAAACAACATAACAAAAATGGAAAAAGGAACGCCGCCACAACTTTTGCTACGTACAGCATCTAATAGGATCTTGGAAGTTTTAAAATCACGAAATATCACTTGCAGTTCTGCTTCCTCATGAAGAAAAGCGAGACCCTTAGCAGCATCCAGCGCTATTTCCATCCTGGTAAACCAAGGGAGAGGCAGAGTCCCTCCTACACAGCCCACAAAAAAACACAAAAATTAACTAATAAAATATTTGTCGTCACACATATATTAGTATTCCCTTTCTGAAGCCACCATAGTCAAAGATAGTTTGGTTAGAACTTATACTAACTTTTGGAAAATTACTGTGAAGAATTAGTAGGGCCAGAATGGAGAGACCACAGCAGGCCCTTTCTTTTCTCATAAAATTGAAATTTACGCTTATGCAAAGGAAAGCTCACCGAAACCTGCCGAAACAAATCATTATGCCCTACTATTAAAAACATTTAGTAGCTATCAAGAGTTGTTCAATTGGCAAGCATGTACCTTCCACTAAATATCATTACTAGCGTGCTTGCAAGCTTTGTACTCAGTTTCATCCTCAATATGGTACAACTGTGGTGTTCTCGCGCCTAAATGACCAAGCTAAAGAGAATTAAGTCTTAGGATTCCCTGAGATGTCGTACTGAGAAACAAAGATGACAAAACGATACTAAAAACATCACACGGATGAAGCTGCTAGAAAGTGACATTTCATGACCATTTCACATGATCTCCCGACATTTCTTTCCTTTTTTTTTTCATGGCTACGAACTATAATGTCCCCTGGGTATGATGACATTGAAAGTCTCTGGTCTTGCATCCTTTTGGTTCTCAGTGGCACCAACATCAAACAAGCAATTTACGCTAAAACATTTCAGGAAGAAGAACATTCAAGAATAAGCATTGTGGACGTGACAATTTGTATGCATATTCTTCAGGAAAATATGGTTCCGAACCCTATCATATTTGGAAAGACGTCCATAATAAGGACAAGTAAGTTTCTCTCTCTTTAACATTATTATCCAGATGCTGGTAGCAATTTACTAGTTTTCTTAGGAGACATGACTTCAATATCCAGCTATGGGTGGATTGATCTACCGTGAGTACTTATACAGGATAAAAAAAATGTAAGACATGTCATTAAGGGCACCAAAAGGACAACTGCGCATACTTTTAAAGAGGTGATTGTCCAAGCTCCCTCCTTGCATAAACTCATATATTAGCAGCCCTTGGTCGTCTTCCTTGCAATATCCAATTAACTTTACCAAATTTGGATGCTCTAGATGACCAAGAATACTCACTTCAGCCTGGCACATCGAAAGTGCAACAGATCAAAAGTCATACTAACTTTCAAACCTGCATTAATCCAGAAATAAAAAGATCATTAGATGATATATTACCAGCCACTCTTTTTGACCCTCCAGCCCATCGTCCGTGAGAGTCTTGACAGCAACAGCCAGCCCAGTACCAGGCCTCGCGGCAGCAGTCCCCTTTTCTTCAATCCAACCCTTAAAGACACGGTTAAAACCGTCTCCACCGAGCAGAGCCTCACCACTAAAGTTTCGTGTAGCTAACTTAAGATCCTTTAATGAAAATTTCCGCAGCTGAGGAGCGACTATAATTTCCTCTTTGAGTTTAGAAGTCAAAGTGTTGATTGTTGTATTACTAGTGTTCTTGGATGGAATTGAAGAGGTTATTACTGTATTACTAGCGGCCGTAGATGAAACAGAGGAGTCAATCCCTGTAGTTGGTGTAAATGAAACCCCAGCAGCAGCAGGCTGCTCTCTGCTTGTGTCATTTGTAAATCCACGTACACAGCCCGAACCAACTTCACCAAGAAGACTTGCAGCACTAAAGTTTCTTGCAGCTAACTTAAGATCATTGAATAAGGATTTCCACAGCCGAGGAGCAACTTTAGGCTCCCTTTTGAGTTTAGAACTTGAAGGGTCTGCATTACCAGTGGTTGTAGATGAAACCACCGGAGGAGCCGGCTGCTCTCTGCTTGCATCATTTGGAATACTTTGTGCTCCTCAAATACGAAGTTAGCAAATTAGACGAAACAAATAAGCATCGATTTGGGTCACTTATGGGAACAACAAGCACCAAGCCACTTCATCTAAACAGGAATTTAAAGATCAATCAGCTAATCTGCCAGCTGGCATAACACGTGTTACTTTTCCAATACAAGGAAGTATCCAGTCCCGAATAGAGGAGGGCATGTAGCCACCTAGGTGGATATTTGTGATTTACAACAGATAACTATGACAACGTACTTCAACTTGCAATCAAAGCGATGGAAAAAGATGAGCAGCAATGAGTCTACCTGATCTCTTGATATAGACTAAAATAATTCTATGCAATCAATCTCCGAGGTACTTCGCTCACTTCTTGTGATATCACACCCTCAACCTACTCTAGATCTGTCACAAACTTATGTCTTCCTATGAGATACATCGCTATCACCACCCATTACTAGATTATCTACAACACGATAGTTGGTTTTTTTTTTTTTTGGTAACCCGGGAACCCCCCGCACGGCCGACAGCCGAGGAGGTAAACCCGGGGTGACGCTAGCGCAGGACCCACCACCACGACGTCACGCTTAAGAATCCCTAACGCCAGCGCTGGGATTCGAACTCCTACCCTTCGTGGGGGGAGGGGAGCCCGAAGCCAGCGCAGCTGCTGAGGGCGGTGGTACAACACGATAGTTGTTAGTCACTTCCCAAACCAACTCTGCCAAATAAAACTCTGGGAACAAAGAGCACTCCTAAAAACACTGGCAATCAACTCCAACTTGACAAGTGTTAGCGGGGCAATTGCATGAGCCATCAAAAAGCACAACCAGAATTAGACTATAACTCCACGATAACAAGCTACATATAATAGTAAAATATCCCACTTTGCTTCTTTTGGGGTTTATAATGGTCTTATGGTCTGCATCCACTTAATACTTAAACTTTCAGATTAAACTTTTGATTTGGTGCTAGAGCCAACTTTCAATTTTTCAGGCCCCATTAAATATTTCATTTCGAGTGAGATATTTTCTCTATCTTATTATTGAAGTGCATTGATCAAATGGTTTTATTCGGGTTTGCACATGAGAGGGGACATTAAAGTATGGAACTTCACTAGTTTACGGAGCTTATAATAACCATCGTTTTAAGTAGCAGCTGATAGTAGTTGGCAAGAATGAAATTCACACCAATAGCAGCCGCTATTGGCCCTACTGTGGTGATTACACCTCCAGGAGGCTCATATGCCTGCATCTGCGATTATTATTATAATGCAATCCGTAACACAATTTGAAAATTTGATAATAACCTTGTATACATGTAGTCTCCCTTGCCCTAATAGCTTAAGCCTTTGGTTGGACTTTGCAATATAAACCAAACATTAATTTCAAGTTCATTCCTTCACCAGACCAAAAATAAATAAAAAGTATGTTCCTTTCCTTTTTACCATATGTACCTCCAACAAACACAAGCAGGATATTAAGAAGTAAGATCTTCATATCGCTAGATAAAAAGTACAGAATTTCTACAGAATGCAAAACAGGAATTCCAATGAAATATCCACAACTGAGCTCGATAATAACTCCCTAAGCACTCTGATGAAGAAATTCTCCCACAAGAAATAGTAACTAAGCCGACTATTGTTAATTCGCTCTACAAGCTTGAAGCACGTTTACAGTGGCAAAAATAAACCAGCAATCCATATCGGTGCAGACTAATGCTGTGCCAACATCTGGTTTTGTCCACTGAAATATAATATGCATTGGAAGAAGTCACAGTTCTGAAGATACAAAAGAACGGCCAGAGTTTTTTACAATTAGCTGTCACTGCGTCATTCATAAACATTTCAAGGGTAATAGATCAGATATCCGATTTGAAAGAAGATAAGAGTTCATTCATATAAGTGTGACTTTCCAATTTTTCTCTTCATTAAAGCTGGACCGGCAGCTTTTAACTTGTTCAATCAAATGCATCGAATGAAATTGAAAGAAAAAGACACATCATTTCAAAAGAACACTGATTATTACCCTTACGTTTAGTCCTTGTCGGATGATTGCCACAGATTTCATCAGTTGATGGTCTCTTGAGATTCGGACAATCAATAATGCTCAATCGTTCCAAGTTTGGTGCAATGCATAAGCCATTGAAAATGCTAATGAATTCAGGCAATGAGAATAGGGATATCTTTTTCAACTTGGGGAGGACGTGAGTACTCTCGCAAACACAAGTATCTTCACACCTCACTAAACTTATGACAAGGGGGCAGTCTTCAACTTTCAGCTCATCTAAGCTATCAAGGTTTTCCAGTAGGCCAGGTGTGAATATAGTAGTCAACTGAGGACATGTGAGTAAGGCCAAGCATTTAAGACGAGACAAGAATCCTCGATGCAGCTGCCCCTCATAAATGCACCTAAAACTCTTTATACGATATAAATAGAGATATTCAAGTGATTTGAGAAACCTACTCTCATCCTCCCATGTTTCTAATACAATTTCACTTCTATCTGCTTCGCCATACATGTCAGTTCCATCAACAATAATCTGAATCTCATCACACTCCTCAATTATGCAGCATTTCAGTTGCTCCATGTTCTCAATCCCAAAATCAGAAAGCTTCGTGACATCTCTATGGCGATCTAAGAAAAATGCGGAAGTATGACGAAGCATCTTTTGGATATCTATGGGTACTCCCACACCATTTACATATTTCAGGGATCTATCCCAGTGTTCTAACTCAAACTCAAGATCCTCTGGGAGATAACACATGATGCGTTTAGCATGTTTGCCAACAACAAATTGGAAATGCGACAAAGATCTAGACACCTTTGATGTGCCAAACCATTTCCTTAGATGTTCCACTTGTGGAAAGTACAGTTTAAGTGTATCCAACCTCATCAAGCCACAAACATCGTCAACAAGAGCTTCCACAACACTCTCCCACCCCTCATCCTCTGGATGTATATCAATACTAAGCTCTTCTAATTGTGATAGGGCAGAAATAGTGCCTTGAGGAATCAATGCATTCACTTCTGCAAACTTAGTGCCACAATTTGTGTGTGGACAAAAAGATACTTCTAAGCAAGTGAGCTTTGTTAGCTTCGCAACCTCCTTCGGCAGATCCATGATCTTAGTGCCTTCAAGATCAAGTACCTCAAGCTGCTGAAGTTCTCCAATTTTCGGAGGTAACACCCTCAATAGCTCACAATGATTTAAGAATAGTCTTTTTAGGCGGCTTAACCTGAATAGAGACTCTGGCATGGACTTGATCCGAGTTCGGGATAAATTCAGGATTTCAAGAGCAGGCATGAAATCAAAGAAAGGCGGACTAATCGTTCTGAGTTTGCAATTTCTATTTAGAAACAGTACCATGAGTACTGGACACCGAGGATTCTCGAATAACTCAGTCAACTGATTTTCCATCAAGTATATCTCTGTGAAACTCTGCCATTGCCTGACCTCCGGAGGCTCCGTCAGTCCTAAACCCCGCGCATAAGGACCTTTCTATTACATTCAGGTGGACTGGATTCGTTGTCGTTAGAACATCTTTCAAGTTCCTCTGCCAGGTGCGGTGGCTCGAACTGACAAGATTCATCAAAGGTTCCTGATAAGTAAAGATCCATTAATTCTCCCCAATGATGAATAATCCTACTAGGAAAATAAACAATTAAAGCATGTGTGTCAAGCAATAAATGAAGATCCCAGCCAAAAACCAAAAACAGCGCACAAAGTTGGAGGTCCAACACCTAGACCTTCTTATGTAAACAGGAAAATTACGCTTTGCATCCTGCAATGGATGGCATAATCATATTTTGCATCCTGAGAGCAACACCACTACTTTCTCTGGAGTTTGTGGACTTTGCAATGGATGGCATAATCATATTTTGCATCATAATCATATATATATATATATATATATATATATATATATATATAGATATATATGTTAGTGGTATGCCCTAAGAATCAATCAAGGTTGATATTCTAATATTAATTGTGGATTAGATTGTGTCGAAAAATCGATCTTCACTATACTTATGTAGTCATAATGTCTTGCTAGAGACCGCTTATGACTTGTGGGCCAAAAAGGGTTTTGAGCACATTGCTAATGTTTAGTGAACCTATAGGATCGCACACAATAGCGAACTGAGTTAATATTTTTTGTGCGCCGGGATCTACTTACAATAAGAAGTAGATTTTAATTTATTCTCTATTCAGCTTATCTACGCGGTCGTGTACGTTGTAAGATAACGATTAAACGTATGATTGAAGGTGGATAGTTTGGCGGGCCCAAATCGCCAGACCCCACTTTTTTTAATTCGCATAGATAATGAGGATATATATATAGCATGTGGGTGACAAAAAAACCCTAAGAAAGAGAAAAACGCCTCCAAGAGAATACGAAGAGAATCGTTCTCTATTCATAGATCTTTGAGAGAGTTTTGAAGATCAAAGGCGATCAGGAAAAAGAAGTCCAAAATCTTTAGCTAGCACTTGGATTGTTGGAGACTTCCATTCGTGTGTGTAGATACCGGTAGAGGCGCAACACTTAGGGCGCTAATTAAGACACAATCGATTGTCAATTTACTTTCGATCTGCAAAAGGTACGTGTCGAACTTCTGTTTAGATTTCAATATACGCATGAATCCTGTCTAGGGTTTCGATTTATAGATTCCGCTACGTTTTTAGCACTTGAGAAACCTAACAGTGGTATCAGAGCTATTTGTCATTATCTACAACAAATATGTAAAGTGAATTGTTCATTAATATTATTTATAATAAACTCCCACCATACTTTTATAACATTGTCCCAATAAGTATAGTGGACCAAGATCCATATTTTATCAAAACTCGAGTAAACTTTGGCTTACCGCTCAAGATCCTGGCCTCTTCCGCCAAAGCGTCGACCCTCTGAGCCTCGCCCTCCAGATTCCGAACTTCCTCCCGAAGACAGTTGGCGTAGCGCTTGGTGGATATCACGTATCCGAATCGACGCTTGATGGGAACAACCACCTTCTTCTTCAAGCCATCCCATGCAACAACAACAAAGGTAGAATCGCGCGGCATTTGTTTCTTCTTTTTTCCCGAGAAACGAAGAGCGAGAAGACGACCGGAAGAGATTTATTAATACTGGCAATCCTCCCATGCACCACGAGTATCTGTCACTCTAAAGCTCAAGTACTTTGCTCCTAACGTTTTGTTGAATTTGTCGTGATCTCTTGGTGTTGCCTCTACGTCCCTTTCTCTCCCTCTCTCTCTCTCGTCATTTAGTCATGAAAAACAACTAGGATTTGCCGTAGGAAACGGCAGGTGAGGGAAGATGAAAGAATTTGATAGGCACGGTTTGGTTTGGGTTGGCTTTGGTCTCAATGCAAACGCCAATCGGAAAAGTCAGACAAGCGAAAATCAGATGGTGAAATGTGAGATAACCCATCCGAATGGCAAAAGGAAAAAACAAAGGTGGTCGTCACTGGCCAACTTGGCCGACCGAGCAACAACACTGAAAATGCCCAATCTGACAACTATGTAATAAAGATAGAATTGTCGATACCTTAAACAAGAAAATCATTATTAAAAAATCTATTATTAAAGGATAATTAAATTTTCATCAATTAATTAAAAATTTAAAAAGAAAAAAGTGGGACGCGCATGTGTACATGTGTGTGCATATGTATTTATGTATGTCCCATCCTTATTACTCTTAATTTCTTAACATTTCCATTGAATCCAGTAGGTTGATTACTTGCGATCATGATAGATGATCCAACTTGAGCAACGACTAAAAAATTCCAATTAACCATGGAAGCTCCATTCTCCGGTAGCAACCACATATGGACAAGAGTGTAAGTCAAGCCGGCGGACAGAACTACCATACAAAAAGCGCCCAATGTATATGACAAAATGTAATAAATATAAGATCCATGAGAGTCGTTCTCAACTTCCCAACTAATCTAAATATTTAAGCTAATTATGCTCTGACCATCCACAAGTTCTTCCAAGCCCTTGACCCAAAAGTTCTCCCGTTAGATTTTGATTGATGATGCGTCATTATTTAAATCTAAACTTTTATGAACCAAGCAAAATGCATCAGGTTTATCTAAGAATTTTTCGTTAGAAGGGTACGTATTGCTTGCACTCGGCTTAAAGTTTGCAAATTAGAATGATGATTCAAAAAGTGATAGAAAAAAAAAAAAGGTTATTTCGTCCCGTTCGTTTTACTGGCATGAAAATTGCTTATTGACTTTCTCAATCTGGCCAAAAGAAAAAGACTTTCTCCTAATAATTTGAGATATTATGTGAACTTTACAAAAGGAAAGAAGCAAACAAAAAATAAGTGGATAGTATTCAAACACCTAATGAAAGTTTGACACATGGAGGAATTGTCCCAAAACATGACAATTCACAATCATGGGATAAGGTGCATGAGGGGATTTGTGCAATTGAATAGGCGCAATTTGGTCTTTCCGACGAGTCAACGTCAATGGATCGGCCCACTGGTTCATTTCTCTCTCTCAAGTAGCTTCAACTGGGAATAACTTTTCTCACATGTGATTCTGATCTTGCCAATCTCAATCTCAGCAGAGTCAGGTACGCGAGATGTTCCTTCGCTCCCTCTAAATCTGCGATATGTTGCTTATGGGACTGTATTTTGATATTTTCTATTTCCTTTTAGTTCTTTCCTTTCTGTTGCCTAAACCTGTTCTTGAAAAGATCCCATCTCCACTGCAAGATTGCTCTTCTGATTTTCGATGAAACAATGGTCGTATCGCAAAGGATGCAACTTTGCAGCTTGAACAGCCGCCATCTTTTGCCATCTTATAATATCTAATGGTCTAAATTTATCTTCTTCTGAATCTGTGGGATCTTTCGAATTGAACACAATGGATGTTCATGTAGAGCCTAACATTTCTTCCTGTGTGTGTGGGGCTAAGTAGGCAACTTCCTTTTAAGCACCCAATTATAAGATAAAGCTCTTGTTTCGGTTGGTCTAACTTTTCCGATGCCCATTTTTTTGTGGAAAGGTGACATTTCAGATTCAGTGTGTACTTGAGCTGAACCAAGAACTGCAAGGTTGTGGCTGCTGTGACATCTCTTATTACTTTGACTTGCCGTATGCTTTTATTACATGTAACATGTCATCATGTTCTAGTTTAGGTACCAATCATTCTTGACAACATAGGTTTGCACATATGGATTAGATTCACTTGGACTGGAATTGAGCTAAATGCAGAAGTTTTAAGGTTTTTGTTTTTGAGACATCTTTGTTGAAGTCTCTGAATCATTACAAAACTTTATTTCCTTCCTGTTTATAGTGATGTTTTCCTGTACATTCACTCGATAAATGTAAAGTCGAGCCTTTTCTTTTTCCTTTTGTCTGAGTAAGTATTATTACCGACATCTCATAACTTTTGTTCTTGTGATAGTCATGGTTGAAGCAGTAGCAACTGCAGCAGCTTCTGCAATAGCAGTTGAAGCATACAAGGAAGGGCGTAGCATTTTTCGCTACATCAGTAAAAAAAAAGAGTATGCTGACAAATTTGAGGTCAATTTTAAGGAGTTGATCAAACAAGCACAAACGCTTTCTAAAAGAATGAAAATTGTAGAGACAGAAATAAAGGAAAAAAAAGATGAAGAGTGAGGAATGTGAAGGTTGGATTGGCAAGGTCGAGGTGGCTGAAGAAGAAGTGCTCCAATTGGACAGCAAGTACAAGAAAGAAATCGAGCATGCTTGGAGATTCCCTCGGTTCTGGTCACGTGCAAACCTCAGCAAGCATATGGCCAAAAAGCGTGAGGAATTACAAGACCTGATAAAAGAAGGAAAGCTTGATAATCGGTTGGTAGCTGAAAGACCCCCGGAGCCCGTGATAGTCATAGATGCCCCTAGGACCGAGGATAAGCCTTCACTACACGAGACCGTTGAAGAAATATTGGGTTTTCTGAGAGAGAGAAACGTCAAAAGGATCGGACTCTGGGGAATGGTTGGCATTGGGAAAACCACAGTCATGCAGAATTTGAATAATAATGAAGAGGTTAAGAAAATGTTTGATATTGTCATTTGGGTATCAGTGTCGAAGGCAGGGAGCATTGAGAAGGTGCAAGATGCAATCACACGACGTTTGAAGCTAAAAGTGGAGGGCGGAGTCAACGCAGTTGAGACTGCTCAACTTATATCAAATGAGTTGGGAGGCATGAGGTACTTACTTCTCCTTGATGAAGTTTGGGATCCTCTCGATCTGCATGAGATAGGTATTCCTAATAATGACAAGGACAGCAGGGTGGTAATTGCCAGTAGATTCTTCGAGTCATGCCGTAAAATGAATGCCGATGAGCTTGTCCATAAGAAGCGTTTATCCAATTCTGATGCATATAAAATGTTCGAAGAAAAAGTCGGTCGAAGTATCATAAATCCAAACATCGTACCAATAGCAAGACTCATGGTTAGAGAGTGTTCTGGTTTGCCACTATTGATCGATAAAGT